AACTTCAGCTGGGAACTGGAGTAGATGTCAACAAGAGGAAGAGGTGCTCCAGTGTGGCACCGAGGGAAGGAGGGGATGAAGAAACCGGGAACCGACTGCGCAAGGGCAAAACAGTCATTAGCAAATCCTAATTAAAACTGGTGATTACGTAATGCCTGTGTCAGCTGGCATTCCTCTCCCAACCCGACGGGGGCTTTTTTTTGGGATAAATCCAGCTGCAATTCCATGTTTTCCATCTGGAGGATCTCCCCACCTCCTCCCACAGCAGCTCTGTCCGTGGAGGAGTTGGGAATTGCAAATGAAGCTCTGTGCAAACTTTAAAGAACTCAGGAATCTTCCTCTGGATGCAGGGAATAGTCTGGATACAAGGGAAGCGTTGGGGCTTGGAAAAAAGAGATCGTTTGGAAGCCTTTAAATGCTGCTGAAGGCAATCCCAAAACACCCGGCTAATGCAATGGCTGAGGTGAAATATTCTGGATTCATTCAAACCTGCAGGAATGATTTGGGAGAGCCCAAATCCCACCCCATGCTCAGTCTCTGTTTGCTCTGGGGTGTTTATTAACATTGTTTCCATACATTAAGCACAGGATTTAACCTGTAACCCTTAAATTTTGCTGTAACACCCCTGCTTTTAATTTTTTTTTTCCGTGCCCCAAAACAATCTTTACTCATCAGTCAAAGAATAAAAATGCTGCCACGTGACTTCCAGGCCCCATTTCCTCCATGAGTAACCCAGAGTGAGGAGGGCACAGGAACAGCACAAATATTCCTGGTCGGACCTGTCCGATCAGCACGGGCAGAAATCCCCAAACAAAGCCCAAAAGAGATGGATCGGGAAAGGTTTGTGACCTCAGGGACGCTTCATCAGGAACTGGGAGTGCCAGGACAAAGGCAATGGCTTCAGAGATGGGATATTGGGATGGAATTCTTGCCTGGAAGGCCCTGGCAGAGAATTCCCAAAAAATCTCATCCCTGGAAGTGTCCAAGGCCAGGGTGGAGCGGCCTGGGATAGGGGAAGGTTCTGGGGTTGGGGCTGGATGGGCTTTAAGGTGCCTTTGAGCCAAAGCAGTGGGGGATTCTGTGTTTTCTCACCCAAACAAAGGCAGAACTCTACAAATCCTTCCCAATTTTTGTCCCCATTCCCATCCTGTTGGCCAAGGGGATCTGGAGCGTTTCCCAGCACATTCAAAGGAAAAAAAAAGACCCAAAATCTCCCAGACAAAACAAACAAACTCAGAAGATTTAATTCCACCCACCAGAAGCACAAAACCGACAGCGATAAATCCCAAAATTCCCAACTCCACTTCCTTAAAAACCCACCTGGGAAGCTGCAAACTTTTGGAACTTTTCTCTTCTAACCCTGGACAAATCTTTTTGCTTCACCTGCGAGGCAGCCCCAATGACACGGGGTTGATTGCTAATTAAATTGTTAATTGGTGTTTGTCCAGAGCACCGCTGATGTCACCTGCCCTGGGATGGCTTCGTCAGCACTCCGTAATTGCAGCAGCACTGCTTGGAGTCATTCCACCCTCGTTAAAAATTGGGGGTTTTTATGGGATATTCCTCGATCTCAGCTGGAATGTGGAGAGGCCCTGCCTGCTCCTGGATTATTCTGAGCCTTTTAAGGGGTATCAAATCCCAAATATTTTGGCTGTCAGCTTTTCCAGGAGCTCCTTGCATGCCCATTGCTCAATGCTGAGGACTTTCCTCTCACTCCAGCACATCAGATCTGGAGATTATTTTCACTCCCAGGCTGCTCTGTCACAGATCTGGAGATCAGCAAAACTCGTAACTTGAATTTCCTGTGTGATCCATTTGATTTGCCTCTGGTCTGCAGGTCTGAAGCCTTTCCCTGCTGTTTTTCCTGAAATTTGGAAATTTTTGGAGAGGGATTCGCTCCTCACACAAGGACTCGCTCAAACCCCCAGTGCTTTCTGTATGAATATTGAACAGTAAAAATATCCTGGGTTTCTCCATTGTCCTGGTGTTTTTCCTGATTCTCTTCATTACCCCTGGTATTTTTTCCTGGTTTTCCTCATTATCCCTGGTGTTTTTTCCTCCATTATCCATGGGTTTTCTCCACAATCCCTGACATTTTTTCCAGGCTTTCTTCATCATCCCTGGCATTTTTTTCCTGATTTTCTCCCTTATCTCTGGCTTTTTTTCCTGATCTTCCTCATGATCCCTGGCACTTTCTCCTGATTTTCCTCATTACCTTGGCATTTTTTCCTGGTCTTCACCATTGTCCCAGCATTTTTTTTCCCAGTCTTCCTCTTTATCAGCTCAGCATGGATCTTCTAAATTCTTCTTATAGTCTATTATTATTATTATTACTATTCCGTTTTAAACAATTCAGAATATTTTGCCACAAAAAACTCATTACAGAATCCCAACTGATTCCACAAAAAATTATTTTCTGGGAAGATCCAGGCAGAGGTTCCCTGGCTTTAAAGGAAGTTTGGGAATAAAGGAACCCTGGGCATTGGGATGGCTTTGGAAGGGGAAATAAATTAATGACGATTAATAGTCCTGCAGGGCAATAAATTAATGATTTAATCCCAGGGAGTGGGGTTTGAAAAATCAAATCCCACTGGAGAGGGTGGTGAGAGCAGGGAAAGTGCTGGAATGTCCCAGCATTCCAGGGAAAGTGCTGGAATGTCCCAGCAGGTGGCTTTGCACCTCCAGGTGATGTCACCCACTGCCGGCTCCAATTATCCCAATTGTTTTTGGGAAAAGCAGGATGGGAGCTGGATCTTTGGGATAAATCAGGAAGAGGATGGAGTTTTCCAATTCCTGAGTCTGGAATTTCCTCCCTCCCTGTCCATCATCACCATGGTCACACCTGACCTCACCCAGGAGAGGAAACCCAAGGAAAAACACTCAGATTCCAGAAAAATTATCAGGGATTCCACAATGCTTGTTAATTGCTGAATTTAACCCATTAATTTGAGTGCTCTGCCATTCATCCAGGAGGAAAGGAAGGAAATCCCAGCAGGAATGATGGGAATATGAACTTGTCTCATTACTCTTCTTATATTCTAATTATTGTTCTGTTTTAAACAATTCAGAATGTTTTGTCACAAAAACTTGCTGTGGAATTCCAACTGATTCCATGAAGAATGATTTTCTGGGAAGATCTGGGCAGATTCCCTGGTTTTCTCCATTATCCCTGGCATTTTTCCCCTGTTTTCCTCTCCTTGGGAGGACAAAAGGCCAAAAATAAGGGAAAGAAAACACTGGTAAATTGCATTTTGGGCAAAGATTAAAACAGCACTGACTCAGGAGCATTTCCTGAAAAATTCCTAACAAAAATTCAAGGAAATGGGATTATTTTAGATGGGAAATACCATTGCTAGTTCAGACCTGGAAGATGCATCCCCCATGCACCTGGAAATGGAAGGGAATTCAGGAAGGCAGGATTCAATCACTCGAAACCTCCGTGCTCTTTTGCTCAGGGATCTCTCTCAGGTTATTGTTTTGGAAATCTGCACCAGGGCCTCACCATCCTTGTAGGGAAGGATTTCTTCCCAATATCCACCTAAACCTTCACACCATCTCCTGTCACTCCATCTACAGCCTCCTTCCATCTTCTGTTCTATGGGAACCTGAAGAAAATATTCACATTTACAGCAAAAAACCACCCAGGAAAGGAAAACAAGACAACACCGTGATTTCTGAGAAATCCAGCGCTGAGCTGGACTCTGCTGGCATCTGTGGGTCCCTTCCCCCTTGGGATCTGTCCCAGCCAAAGCTCCGGAATGTTGGGACACGGCTCCCATGCCCAGGCTGGGATTGCTGGTGTTAGAAATGACAATATTGTATCGGCTTTGGCATTTACGCATTGGCTTTTGTGAGTTATTATTGACCACAGAGATGTTGATGTGGTGCAATCTGTAATTCCTTTTAAGTGTTTTTTGGTATAGTATAATCTGTCAGTTTATGTATGCACCATGTAAAGTGCTGTGATAAACAGAATAATCTTATATCTAATCCATAACCTATAACATTCTTAGCATACTATTAAAACTATGTAATGTTAAAATGCTTTTATTTGTGCAACTAACTCAGATAATTAGTGGGATATTTAATTAATTCATTAATGAGATAAAGAGTGTGAAACAGCTATGTTTCATCAGCGATAACAGTGACAAGAACCAGGATACCAAGAGAAAACTTTTTTACTGACTCTCCGGTTATCAGGAGTGTCAGAACAACAGAATAGAGCCTCGAAAAGAAATAAAATAAATTGATTTAATGCAGGGTGGCATGCAGACAAGTCAAAGGTTAAAACCAGGCAAAAAAGTTCCTAGAACATGCCTGCTCACAAGGATGCTTGAGAATGTATAACCCTCATAAATATGCATTTAACCCATAAGTGTAAAAATGTACATTTTTACTGTACAAAGAAATGTATTACTGTATAAAATATAGAAAAATAATAATTATTTTAATTACTAAGAATATTAAAAATTATTTAAAATTATCCTGTACTGTAAAAATATATTCAAAATATCATTTTAAGCTAACGGCGTGCTTTTGCCAAACTGCCAAGCACCCCAGCGCTGGATATTGTCCCTTTTAGCCCTTATTAAACTTTTTTCAAGTCTTTTTAAATAGCGACCCCTATTTCTCACGGTTCGCGTATCCTGGCCAGGACCGGACCATCCTGCGCTCCGTTCCCGCTCGCGATGTGCCGCCATCCCGGATTTTTATCGCCTTATGTCGCGACAGGCGCGCGCCGCCAGCCCGGCCCCGCCTCCCCTCAGCGTTCCCGCCAGCCCGGCCCCGCCTCCCCTCAGCGTTCCCGCCAGCCCGGCCCGGGCTCCCTTCAGTGTTCCCGCCGCGGGGGGAGCGGCCCCGGAAGCGGAAGCCGCGCGGGCCCCGGAAGCGCCGCCGCTCCTTCCCGGAAGCGCCGCCCCGCGCCGCCATCTTGGCAGGAGCCGTGAGGGAGCCGCGGCCGCCGCCGCCCGCCCCGCCCGCTCCGCCGCCGTCGCGGCCCGGCCGCTGCTCCCCGCCTGCCTCCCTCCCGCGGCCGCGGCCAGGAGGGGCCGCCCGGGGCCTGGCGGCTGCGGAGAGGTGAGCTCCTTCAGAGCGGCTGCCTTCGTGTCTCCCCCTCTCTGCTGTTCTCCCTCTCCTTCCTCCCCTCTCTTTCCCACCTTTCCCTTTCTCTTTCAGCGCCTCCCTTCCCCTTTCCCTTCTTCCCTCCCTCTCTGGTTCCTCTTCCCCCCCCCTTTTCATTCCCTCTCTTCCTTTTCTCTCTTTCCCCTTTGCCTTTCAGACCTTCCCTGCTTGCCTCTCCCGTTTTCCCCCTTTTCTTCACAGTTTTCCCCTTTTTTCTCCTTTTCTCCTCTCCCTTTCAACCCCTCCCTTCCTCTTTCCCCTTTTCCCTTCCTCTCTCCGTTTTCTCTTTTCCTCCTCTCCCTTTCAGTCCCTCCCTCCTTCCCTCCCCCTTCCCCTTTAGCCCCTTCTCTCCGTTTCCCCTTTTTCCCCCTTTCCCCTTTTCCCCCTCCTTTTCCTCTCTTGTTCCGTCCTTTTCCCCCCTTTCCCTCTCCCCCCGCCTTTTTTATGCGTTATTCTCCCTTTTTCTCCTCCCGTATTCCCCATTTCCCCCCTTCTTTCCCTCCTTTTTTCTCCCCTTTTCCCTCCTTTTTCCCCTTTCTCTCCTTTTTCCCCGCTTTTTTCCCCTATTATTCTCTCTTTTTTCCCTCCTTTTTCTCCCCTTACCCCCCTTTTCCCCCATCCCCCCCTTTTTTCCTTATTTTTTCCTTTTCCCTTTCACTCCCTCCATCCCCTCCCTCCCTCTCTGTCCTCCAGTTCTCCCTCACTTCTCCTCCCTCGTGTCCTTATCCAGGTGGGAATTCGGGATTTTTGCTTGTATTCCTTTATTTTCCTTCTTTCAGGTGTGTAAAAATCCCAATATTTCAAATATTCCCGTTTTTTGTGCTGCCCGTGGTGAGGCTGGCTATGGAATAGACACCAGAACAAAGAATTGAGTTAAAATAAAAACTTTTTATTTTAAAGTCAAAGCTGGTATTTTTTTAAAGAGAAAAAAAAACTTTAATGTTATGATTTCAAGACTGACTTCAAAGTTAAAATGTTGTGGGTTAAAATCAATAATTTAGAGCAATCCTGGCAAAATTCAGGTTGAACAGATTTATTCTGAGGTTGAATATTTGACCACATATAAGTGCTACTCATGGGTTAAATTGTTTCTTTTGAATTAACTGTTTATTAAATTGTTAAACAATTAATTTTTAAGTAAGTTTTACCTATTTGCAATAAAGGAATAGAGAGGGCTACATTAATTTAATATAATTTTATTTATTTAATTTTATTTTCATTTTTAAAATTGATTTATTTTAAGTATTGTCTTATTATTTTAGTATTGTATCAGAGATATTGCTTTATATTTTTATTTACTTCTGCTCGAATTTCCTTGTGTAAAATCAAAGAATTCCCTAAACCCATGGAGGGAAAGGTAATTAATTGGCAGCTGTTAATTGCTGTGTGTTGTGTAGGTGAGTTCTTCCTTTGTCCTGGAATTTCAGCAGGGAATTTCCTCCTTCCTCCCCGATCTGTCTCCTTTTAGATGAGGTTTTATTCCAAAAGAATAGATCTTTCAAAAGAATATTTCAAAGAGAATAACCAGAAATTCCAAATATTTCACTCCCAAGTCAGGTTCCTGTTTGTTCTTTATTTCAGAGCACTGGGAGTGTAAAAACAAGAAAAACAGTAGATGAATTTAATTTAAAACAGACTAAATCTATATTTATTCACTCAAAAAAAGCTTTAGGATAGAAAGGAATGGAATAAAATATCCCAAGGTGGAAGGGATCCCGAGGATCCCCCAGCTCAGACATTCTTTGGGTTTTATTGTGATGATTTCCTTCTCCTTGAAAACCCAAATCATTGAATTTCAATCTCAAATGCAACCCCTAAAGTGGATTTTATAAAAACCTGGAGAAAGAATCTATGAAGCTCTGTGGTTGATTAATTGCATTAATTATTGTTAATTAAATTATGTTATGAAGATTTTCCATGATTCCTGCTCCTTAAAACCAAAATAATTGAATTTCTATCTCAGATACAGCCCATAAGTGGATTGTCTAAAAACCTGAAGAAAGGTTTTATGAAGCTATGTGGTTAATTGCATTCATTAATTGTTGTTAATTAGATTATATTATGAAGATTTTCCATGATTCCTGCTGCTTAAAAACCCAAATCATTATTGCCTCAAATACAACCCATAAAGTGGATTTTATAATGAGTAATGTATTGTACTATATATTTATATATAGTGTACATAACTTTTTATGTATTATATATATTATTTTATATTTATTATTTATGTATAATATTACAATATTGTATTAAATATATATAGGGATATATAATATATACCATACGTTGTATATATTATTAGCTCTAGGGATATATAACGTTTAACATATATATATATTATCTCTAGGGTTATTATTAGTTATATAAATATTGTGGGTAGTATTGTATTTATAAATTTTATATGATTATAATACAATAATTTAAGAACAATGACCCTGGAGAAAGGTTTGGTGTGGCTGATTGTTTGCATTAATTAACGAATTGTTGTTAATTAGATGAGCAACGCCAGCAATAAGAGAGCCCCGACGACGGCGACGCAGAGGCTGAAGCAGGATTACCTGAGGATCAAAAAGGATCCCGTGCCTTACATCTGTGCAGAGCCACTCCCCTCCAACATCCTGGAATGGTGCGGATGGAGAGGCTGGGAACTGGGATTGGGAACTGGGGAATGGGGAACTGAGATTGGGGAATGGGAATGGGGAACTGGGATTGGGGAACTGGGATGGGGATTGGGGATGCGGAACTGGGATTGGGGATTTGGGATGGGGAACTGGGATTGGGATTGGGGAACTGGGATTGGGGAACTGGGATGGGGATTGGGGATGGGGATTGGGAAATTGGGGATGAGAGTGGGCGTGGGAATTTGGGATGGGGAGAGTTGGAAATGGGGGATTGGGAATTGGGGACAGAGAACTGGATGGGGATTGGGGATGGAGAACTGGTAATTGGAGGGGGAGAATTGGAAATGGGGAATTGGGGGTGGAGAATTGGGAATAGGAAATTGGGATGGGAATTCGGGATTGGAGTGGGAATAGGGATGGGAATTGGGGAGGGGATGTGAGTTGGGGATGGGAATTGGGATGGGAGTTGTGGAGGGAATGTGGATGGGAGCTGGAGATGGAGGATTGGGCTGGGAATTGGAATTGGGATGGGATTTGGGATGGGAGTGGGGATGGGAATCAGGGTGGGAATTGGAATTGGGGTGAGAACTGGGGCTGGGAATGGGGCTGGGTTGTGTTTCCCCCCAGGAATGAGACTGGGGCCGGGAATGGGGCTGGGTTGTTCCCCCTGGGAATGGGGCTGGGTTGTTTCCCCCTGGACAGGGCACACTTTCCCAGGCTGTCCGGTCTCTCCTGGTTCTGGGCAGGGGGAGGGAGCTGAGGCCGAGGCTGATGCTGATTTTTGGGATATTTGTGGTTTCCCAGTGTTCCGTTCCCCTTTTTCCAGGCACTATGTGGTGCGAGGGCCGGAGCTGACCCCCTATGAAGGTAAATCCCTGCCTGTGGGGTTTGCATGGAAATTCAGGAATTCCAGGGGCTGGGAAAAGCCAAAATAATCCCACTGAAACCTCCCACTAAACTCTCCAAAAACTGGGAGAGAGATGAAGAAATAGGGATGCTGCTGTCAATCATTTTTATCAAGGGCTTTAATCAATTAAAATTCAGATTAAACTGAAGGCAGATCTTAAATTTTGGAATGGTTTACAGCAAACGTTCTCCAATTTCTGACAAAAAATTTCAAAAATTCCCGTTTTTACAACAGAAATGTCCTCAGTGAGCTGAGATTAAAATTTACTTCACCCCTTTTTGGGGTAGTGGAGGAGAAGGAATAAAGCAGGGGAATTGGGATGGAGTTTTGGGATGGGAATTATTTATTAAATATAATTTAATACATATTTATTAAATAAAATTTATTTAACCCATTTTGGGGTAGCTTAGAAATAAAGCAGGGGAATTTGGGCTGGAGATGGGAATTATTTATTAAATAGAATTTATTTCACCCATTATTTTGGGTAAGTTTAGGAGAAGGAATAAAGCAGGAGAATTGGGGATGAGAATTGGAATTGGGGATGGAAATTGGAATGGGAATTATTTATTAAATAGAATTGATTTTACCCATTTTTGGGAAGTTTAGGAGAAGGAATAAAGCAGGGGAATTGGGGATTGGAATTGGGATGGGAATTATTTATGCAATAGAATTGATTTCACCCATTTTGGGGATGTTGAGGAGAAGGAATAAAGCAGAGGAATTGGGGTGGGAATTGGAATTGGGGATTAGAATTGCAATGGAAATTATTTATTCAATACAATTTATTTAACTTTTTTTGGGAAGTTGGGAGAAGGAAAAAAGAGGAATTGGGGTGGGGATTGGAATTGGGGATGGGAATTGGAATTGGGGATGGAAATTGGGGTGGGAATTATTTATGAAATAGAATTGATTTCACCCATTTTTTGGGGGAAGTTGAGAAGTAATGAAGCAGGAGAATTGGGGATGGGGATTGGGATTGAGATGGGAATTATTTATGCAATACAATTTATTTCACCCTTTTTTGAGAAGTTGAGTAGAAGGAACAAAGCAGGGGATCTGGGATGGGAATTATTTATGCAGTAGAATTGGTTTCAGCCCTTTTGGGGCGCTCAGGACCTGCTGCCCAGCCCAGCTGCTCTCTCTGTGCTGCAGGTGGATATTACCACGGAAAATTAATATTCCCTCGAGAATTCCCTTTCAAACCTCCCAGTATTTATATGATCACCCCCAATGGAAGGTTCAAGTGCAACACCAGGTGAGGACTCCTTCCCAACATTCCAGCCGTTCCCGCTGCAGCTCTGTCCCATCCAAAATCCCTGTTCCCGGGCTGTGTTTTTTTTGGAAGGTTGTGTCTGTCCATCACGGATTTCCACCCGGACACCTGGAACCCGGCCTGGTCGGTGTCCACCATCCTGACAGGGCTGCTCAGCTTCATGGTGGAGAAGGGGCCCACCCTGGGCAGCATCGAGACCTCCGAGTTCACTGTGAGTTCCAGAGCCACTGCCGTTCCCTTGGGAATCTGGGAGAGCTCAGGGATGAAGCCTGGTTGGGATTTGGATCCTTTTTCCAGCCATTTTTCCTTGATCTTGATCTCACAGGATCAAAAATTAACAGTTTGTGTCTATAAACATCAATTTTAGTGAATAACACAAATTTGATGTTTGAGGTGTTACAAAGCACTTGGGAAGCTTTGGGAATCTGGGAGATCTCATGGATAAAGCCTGGTTGGGGTTTGGATCCTTTTTCCAGCCCTTTTTCCCGTCCTTGATCCCACAGGATCAACAAATATCAGCTGTAGTAAATAACACTCACAAATGTGATGTGGGGAGGTGTTACAGACCATTTGGGAAGCTTTGGGAATTTGGGAAGTGTTGGGAATCTGGGAGATCTCAGGGATAAAGCCTGGTTAGGATTTGAATCCTTTTTCCTTGTACGTGATCCCACAGGATCAAAAATTCCTGGAATTTCTATCTAAACCCATCTCTTCTAGTCAATAACACTCACAAATTTGATGTGTGAGGTGTTACAGAGTATTTGGGAAGCTTTGGGAATCTGGGAGATCACAGGGATAAAGCCTGGTTGGGGTTTGGATCCTTTTTCCATCCCTTTCTCCTTGTCCTTGATCCCACAGGATCAAAAATTAACAGTTTGTATCTATAAACATCAATTTTAGTGAAAACCACTCGATTTTAAGAGCTGCAAACCACTTGGGAAGCTTTGGGAATTCAGGAAGCTTTGGGAATTTGGGAAATCTCAGGGATAAAGCCTGGTTGGGGTTCCAAGCCTTTACCCCAGAACCCTGATTCCACAGGATCAAAAACTAACAGCATTTTTGCCTATAAACCTCAATTTTAGTGAAAAATACTAACAAATTTGATGATTGAGGTGTTACAAAGCACTTGGGAAGCTTTGGGAATCTGGGAGATCTCAGGGATAAAGCCTGGTTGGGATTTGGATCCTTTTTCCAGCCCTTTTTCCTTGTCTTTGATCCCACAGGATCAAAAATTAACAGAATTTTTGCCTATAAACCTCAATTTTAGTGACTAACGCTCACAGATTTGATGTTTGATGTGTTAAAACCCCTTGGTGCAAGGTTTGCACTGTTCTGGTGGGAAATCAGGTGTGGAATTGGAAGAGATGAATTGAATTTTCCTGAAATTGCTGAGAAATGTGATTTTTCTCCCCAGAAAAGGCAGCTGGCTGCACAGAGCTTAGCATTTAATTTAAAAGATAAAGTCTTCTGTGAGCTCTTCCCTGAAGTGGTGGAGGTAAGGAAATATTCATTGTTTATTATTCCTACCAAAAATCCCCTTTTCTGGGCTTCTTCAGCCTCTCCTGGTCAGGATTTTCCCAGTCTGGAGTTGATTTGTTCATTTTGGAAACCTTTTCAAAGGTTTTAATTCTTTCATACAGAGTAGAGACTGCAGGAGAGTGGGAAAAAAGACTTTTTCCAGTTTTTCCTTCTCCATGAGCTGTGTGGGATTTCAGCTTTAATTCCTGTTCCTGAAGGAATTCTGATTTAGGACCCATTTTCCCTTCTCACCGTTCCATCGTCTTCCCCTTTTCAGGAAATAAAAGCCCCCAAATTGTCCCAACTTCTACTTTTCCACTGAATTTTCTCTTTCCTTCTGTAGGAAATCAAACAAAAAAACCCCAAATCACCACAAATTCACTTTCCCACTGAATTTTCTCCTCCCCTTTTCCAGGAAATCAAATGAAAGGCCCCAAATCACCACAAATTCCATTGAATTTTCTGTTCCCCCATGCAGGAAAAGCACCCAATTCACCCCATTTTCTCTTACATTCTATTTTCTTTTTGGCTCTGCAAACAAAAGCCCCCAAATCATCACAAATTCACTTTCCCATGCAGGAAATCAAACAGAATCACCACAATTTCTGCTTTCCCATTCAATTTTCACTTTCCCAAGCAGGAAATCAAACAAAAAAAAACCCAGATTACCACAAACTCCATTTTCCCATCAAATTTTCTCCTCCCTTCTTCAGGAAATCAACCAAAAAACCTCCAAATCACCCCAAACTCCACTTTCCTATGGAGGAACTCAAACAAAAAGCCCCCAAATCACCACAAATTCACTTTCCCATTCAATTTTCACTTTCCCATGCAGGAACTCAACCGAAAAAACCCCAAATCACCCCAAAATCCATTTTCCCATACAGGAAGTCAAACAAAAACCCCTGAATCACCCAAACTCCCACTTTCCTGTGCAGGGACTCAACCCAGAAACCCCCAAATCACCCCGAACTCCACTTTCCAATACAGGAACTCAACCCAAAAACCACCCCAAACTCCACTTTCCCATGCAGGAACTCAGCCCAAAAACCCCCAAACTCCACTTTCCCATGCAGGAACTCAACCCCAAAACCCCCAAACCGCCTTGGCAGTGAGTTTTCTCCTCCCCTCCGCAGGAGATGAAGCAGAAGCAGAAAGCCCAGGAGGAGCTGAGCTCCAGGCCTCCCTCGCTGCCGCTGCCAGACGTGGTGCCGGACGGGGACGCGCACCTGGGCCACCACGGGCACGCGCTGCTGGCCGGGCAGCCGGCGGGCCCCGGGCGCGGCGCGGCGCTGCAGCAGCCCCACAGGAACCACGGACTCTTGGGGGGAGCCCTGGCGAACTTGTTTGTCATCGTGGGCTTCGCCGCCTTCGCCTACACAGTCAAGTATGTGCTGAGGAGCATAGCCCAGGAGTGAGGGCGTCCCCAGGACCAAATTCCAGGGGGGTCTGGGCTCGGCGGGACTCGGCGGGGGCAACGTTTGGGGCGTTCGGCCTTGCCGGGTTGAGCCGGGGATTTGGGTTGAGGAGTCGAAGCGTTGTTGGGGAGCCACTGCATTTTGTTGCTTTGGTTTGTAGAGTTCTTCTCCATCTGTGGTTTCAAAATTGAAAAATCTGCAGTAAATTCTTATTCCATTGAGTTTTTAATTCAGGAAATTTGGGGGTTTTGTCCTTCTTGGGTTGTGGTGGGGTTTTGGGTTGAGGAGTCGAAGCGTTGCTGGGGAGCCCCTTTGGTTTGTAGGGTTCTCTTCCATCTGTGGCTCTAAATTTGGAAAATCTTTTGTTAAATTCTTATTCCATTGAGTTTCACATTTAGGAAATTTTTGGGTTTTTCCCTCCCTGGCCTGAGGTGGGATTTGGGTTGAGGAGTTGAAGCATTGTTGTGACCCACTTTGGTTTGTAGAGTTTTCCTCTATCTGTGGTTCTAAATTTGGAAAACCTTCCGTAAATTCTTACTCCATTGAGTTTTTAATTGAGGAAATTTGGGGGTTTTCCCTTCCTGGCTTGTGGTGGGGATTTGGGTTAAGGAGGTTTTACTTCTCACTGAGAGGTCAAAGCATTTTTGGGGAGCCCCTTTGGTTTGTAGAGTTCTCCTCCATCTGTGGTTTCAGAATTGAAAAATCTGCAGTAAATTCTTATTCCATTGAGTTTTGAATTCAGGAAATTAGGGGTTTTTCCCTTCCTGGGTTAAGGTGGAGTTTTGGGTTGAGGAGACAAAGTGTTGTTGTGACCCACTTTGGTTTGTAGGGTTCTCTTCCATCTGTGGTTTCAAAATTGAAAAATCTTCAGTAAATTCTTATTCCATTGAGTTCTGAATTGAGGAAATTTGGGGGTTTTGCCCTTCTTGGGTTGATGTGGGATTTTGGGTTGAGGAGTCGAAGCGTTGTTGGGGAGCCCCTGCATTTTGTTGCTTTGGTTCTTCCATTGAGTTTTGAATTCAGGAAATTTGGGGATTTTCCCTTCCTGGGTTGAGATGTTTCATTTTCAGTGCTTTGATTTATCGAATTCTTCTCCATCTGAGCTTTGAAATTGGGAAAATCTTCCAATTTTGGCTCTGTTGAGCGATTTTTACGAATCCCCTCCCATTCCTGCATCTCCCTTGTGTTTTCCTTAGGGAAGAGGTGGGAAGGGATCCAAGCAAAGATTCCATGTGGATTTGGGGATTAGGGGTGGGTGAAGGTTGATTTGATAGAAAATTTGGGGATTTTATTCCCAATAAATCCCCATCCTTGTGTTCTGCTCAGTGCTGATAAATGGGAAAGAAAGAATTCCAAAAGTTCCCTCAGGACTCCCACAAGCATCACCGAGGGTTTGATTTATCAGGGAAAAACCAACTTTGGAATTAGAGGGAATTCCCACATCCAGCCTTGGATTCTCATTGGGGTTTTTCCTTTTGGGAGGGAAATGATAAAATTTCATTTTTGTCACAAGGGGGCCACTGGTGGGAAAAAAAACCAATAAAAGTGCAGCCACCCCATGGAGAGTGTGTCCCAAAAACTGGGCTTTGTGTCCCAAAAACTGGGCTTTGTGTCCCAAAATTGGGCTTTGTGTCCCAAAAATTGGGCTTTGTGTCCCAAAAATTGGGCTTTGTGTCCCAAAAACTGGGGTTTGTATCACAAAACTGGGGTTTGTGTCCCAAAAACTGGGGTTTGTGTCCCAAAAACTGGGGTTTGTGTCCCAAAAACTGGGCTTTGTGTCCCAAAAACTGGGCTTTGTATCACAAAACTGGGGTTTATGTCCCAAAACTGGGGTTTGTGTCCCAAAAACTGGGGTTTGTGTCCCAAAAACTGGGGTTTGTGTCCCAAAAACTGTTTTTTCTGTCCCAAAAATTGGGTTTTGTGTCCCAAAAAATTGGGTTTTGTGTCCCTAAAATTTGTTTTATCATCCCAAAAATTGGGGGTTTGTGTTCCAAAAATGTTTTTTTGTGTCCCAAAAATTTGTTTTATTGTCCCAAAAATTGGTTTTATTGTCCCAAAAATCAGCATTTGGGGCTGTGGGGATGAGGGAGCAGCACCTGGAAAGGGAGGAATTCCAGGTTTGAGTGGGAATAACGAAGGAGCTCCTGCAGAGAGGCTGAGGCAGAGGTAAAACCCCAAATTCAGTTCCAGTTGCTTCAAGTTTTCCTTCAATTCCTGAAAAACCCCAAATCCCAATCCCAAAATTCCTCTGGGATTCATCTGCTGAGGTAAAACCCCAAATTTGGGTCCATTTGCTTCAATTTCACTTCAATTCTTTTTTAAAGAAACTAATTCCTCTGGAATTCTGGAAATATTTTCCCCCCCAACCCCCAAATTCCTCTTGGAAATGTTTCCCCCCCCCATCCACAAAATCCCAAAATTCCTCTGGAATTCTGGAAACATTTCCCTCCCCAGCCCAAATTTTCACCTGGAATTCTGCTCAGGTAAAACCCCAAATTTGGTTCCTCTCCCTTCAAGTTTTGCTTCAATTCTTGGAAAGAAAATCCCAAAATTCCTCTGGAATTCTGGAAATACTCCAAATCCCAAAGTTCCCTTGGGATTCCTCTGCTGAAACAAAAACTTCCATTTTCTGCTGCCTTTTTTTTCCCCCCTAAAAATTGGTTTTATTTAAACCCCAAAATTCCAATTCTGGTTTATTTTGAATTCCCTGGATTTGGAGGAAGATTTGAAGCATTCCAGGTGCCATTTGTGGGATCCCTGTGGATTCCAGGAGTTGGGAATGGAAGTTTTATTCCCTTTTTTTTTTGGTGGGGGGATTGATTTTGTGTTTTTCTGGGAATTCAGGATCCGATTTTCTTCTCCCAAAAAAAAGGAGGAAAAATGAAATTTCAAGCTCTCCCTCAGGATAAAATCTGGGAATAAACCCTTGACTTTCCAAGCTGTAATTCCGTGGATTTCTGGAAAACCATTGGAATTTAAAGGTTGGGAGTTTTTCCATAGAAATCTTGGTTTTTAATAAAAATTCGTGGATTTTTGGGGAGTTCTCCTGTTTTTCCTGGAGATTCCAAGGCCATGGAGCGTCCCGAGGAGTGGGCGTGGCTGCGTCGTGCCGTGGTTTATTCCTAATAAACATCCCTGAAAAATCCACTTGCTGGGCTTGCTTTTCTTGGGAACAAATTCCTCAGGAACAAACGGAATTGGGAATATCTCAGCTCATCAATAAAAGGATGGAAAAACCTCGTTTTCCCTGATTTTGTTCCTTTTCCCAGATTTTCCAGCCTCCCTTCGCTGTCTCCGTGTCTTTATTCACGTCATCATCAAGAATTCCAATAATTCCTTTAAACCTTGCTCTCCTAACGGGAATTCTGGGATCCGTTGGGATCGTTTCTGCTAATCATTACAAATAATTATTAATGTCTATTAATAATTCCAGGTAATTAATGATTAATTGATCAATCCTGAGCCACGTGACGCCGTTTTCATGGGAAAACTTTGGATTTTTAAAGCAGGAAAATCCCCTTTCCAGTGGGAAAATCCCATCAAAAAAAAAGGAGTGAATTCCATAGAAACTCCAAGCATTCCCAAATTCCTGGAATTTCTTTTCCAAGCCAGGAATGAAGAGGGTTCATTAGGATTAATTGGGAATTCTTAACTGGGTTATTTTCCATTGGAAGTGGGAGAAATTTGGGAATTTTCCCCGTTTTTCTGGGAATTTGGGCGGATTTGGGGGATCGGCCACGAGGGGGCGCGGCCGTGTCGGGAATTCGGGGCTGGAGCGGCGTTTTGGGGAATGCTGGAATTCCCTGAGCTGGGAATGATCCCCAAATCCCAGCCGATATTCCCGGGGCTGCCGCGGCTTCGGGAATGTGGGAATTCCCTGGAGAAGCTTTTTGTGGGATTATCACAAAATCCTGGAGCCTTGGAGGGGTTTCTGTCCCGTCCATTCCCCATCCCGGCCTCGGGCACCGGAATTCTTTGGGAATTCCATCCCAGGGCAGAGTTTATTCCTCAATCCCGATCCCTACAGAGCAGGAATTGAGATTTGTGGCAGCCACTGGTTAAAACTTCCCGTTCCCTGCCAAGGATTGGGAATCCTTCAATAAATCCCAAAGAATAACTGGGAAAATCCCACTTTTTGCCCTTTTCCCCAATTTCTTCCTGGCTCCATGTGATTTTTCCAAGCCCTGCATTCCCGTTTTCCCACAGTTTGGGAACGTTCCTGTGGCTTCTTTTAGGATTTGCTCCATCCCACCTTTTCCTGCTGCCCTCTCTGTGCCAAGGATTGGGAATTCTGTGCTAAATCTCCAATAAAAAAATGGGAAAATCCCACTTTCCCCCCCCCTTTTTCCCTTTGGAGCTCATTCCCGGTCAGGAACGGGAAATTCCAGGAGCTGGGATTGAAGGATTTCCCAATTTCTTCCTGACTTTTCACTCCTCTGGATCCACACGATTTTTCAAAAAAAAAAATAAAATAAAAAAATAAAAATTAAAAAAATATCCAGGTGAAACCTTCATTTCCGTGGGAAAAAATTCCCAAATACCCAAGTGAAACCTTCATTCTTGTGGGAAAAAAAATCCCAAATTCTCAAATATCCGACTGAAACCTCCCTTCCTTGTGGGAAAATATTCCCAAATTCCCAAATATCCAATTGAAACCTTCATTCCTGTGGGAAAAATTTTCCCAAATTCCCAAATATCCAGGTGAAACCTCCCTTTCTGGGGGGAGAAATTCCCAAATTCCCAAATATCCAGGTGAAACCTTCGTTCTTGTGGGAAAAAGTTCCCAAATTCCCAAATATCCAATTTAAGCTTTCCTTGGAGTGAGGTTTCCGCTCCTCCCGGGCTGGATCCCGGTTCCCGGAGCTCTGGATTCGCGGTGTCGGGAATTGCCCAAAGCCCAGCAGAATTCCCGAATTTCCTCCCGGATCGGAGGCCTCGCTCCTTCCCACCCAAAATCCGGGAGAAGAATTTTTGGGCCGATTCCCAAACCCCTCCGGGAGCATCCGGAACAAATCCGGGATGGATCTTCCCAAAATCCCAGGCGGGATTTGGCGTTCCCGCTGCTGGCAGGGATCGATCCCATTAAATTGTCATCGGGAGCGCTCCCACAAATCCCGGCTCGTCTGCCCGACCTGGAAATTCCAGCCCGGAGTGTGGGAAGGCGCCAGGGAAAGTTAAATATTATTAACAAATCCCGGGAGCCACGTCCTCGTCATGGAATGTGAGCGGGAGCTGCTCTTAACCCTTGCAGTGCCTGCCGCACTCCCGAGGGCATTTTCCTCTTCCCCAATTCCAGTTTTTTTCTGGGAAAAAAGTTTGGAAAAAGAAAATTTCTTGCGAAAAAAGCTGGGAAAAAATGAGATTTTTTACTCCCTTTTGAGCTGGGATTCTTTCGTGCCTCAGTTTCCCTGAGCTGCAGATCCGGAGTTTTCCTCCTCATCCGCAAGATTTTCCTCCTGATCCACAAAATTTTCCTCCTGATCCACAAAATTTTCCTCCTGATCCACAAAATTTTCTTCCTGATCCACAAAATTTTCTTCCTGATCCAAAAAATCTTCCTCCTCCATCCCCTGTAAAATCCAAGGAAAAGCACACTGGGAATTTTCCCTTGGATCACAGAACTGATGGGAAAGGAAGGAATTTTTTTTTGTGTGTGCTCGTTGGATGCATAAAAAGCTTCAAATCCTGGGATTTTCGACCTTGTCTCATTCCCTGGATTTTCTCCTGGAGAAATTTTTACAGCAGGGTGGGGATTTTGGGGGGGAAATGGGAATCTCTGGTGCAGGTGGTGGGGGCTGGAAGGGATCTGAGGTGTCCAGGCACATCCAGAGATCCCTCGGGAAGCGCTGGTGGGTGAAAATCCGGGAATTCTGCTCTTTGTAAGGAAAACAGTAGGGGGAAAACTGGGAAAATCGGAGATGGAACACTCCAAACTGGGAAATGAAGTGGGAATTCTGCCCTATCCAAAAGGGAAATTGGATATGGAACACCCCAGACTGGGAAATAAATCAGGAATTCTGCCCCATCCAAGCGGGAATTCTGCCCCATCCAAGTGGGAATTCTGCCTTATCCAAGTGGGAATTCTGCCTTATCCAAGTGGGAATTCCGCCTTATCCAAGTGGGAATTCTCCCCTATCCAAGGAGGAATTCTGCCTTATCCAAGTGGGAATTCCGCCTTATCCAAGTGGGAATTCTCCCCTATCCAAGGAGGAATTCTGCCTTATCCAAGTGGGAATTCTGCCCTGTCCAAGCGGGAATTCTGCCTTATCCAAGTGGGAATTCCGCCTTATCCAAGTGGGAATTCTCCCCTATCCAAGGAGGAATTCTGCCTTATCCAAGTGGGAATTCCGCCTTATCCAAGTGGGAATTCTGCCCTGTCCAAGCGGGAATTCTGCCTTATCCAAGTGGGAATTTTGCCTTATCCAAGTGGGAATTCTCCCCTATCCAAGTGGGAATTCTGCCTTATCCAAGTGGGAATTCTCCCCCTATCCAAGTGGGAATTCTCCCCTATCCAAGTGGGAATTCTCCCCTATCCAAGTGGGAATTCTGCCTTATCCAAGCGGGAATTCTGCCCTCTCCTGCTGGGGGTTTATCCCAAGCCACAGATTTCCAGCCCTGGCGAGTGTTAAAACTTCCCAGGAAAAGGGCGATTTCCCCGGGATAAGGAAGGGGCGGGAGCGGGGCCTGGACGCTGATTCCAATCTTCCCGGCACGCTCCATTATCTGGGAATTTAATGGGAATGTGAGGAGAGGAGGCTTGACAGCTCATTAGAATGTGAGCCCTCCTCCTTTCTTTTTTTTCCCTGTTTTTTTTCCTCTCCTTTTCTTGGAGTTGATGGAAACTCCTTCGGGAAAGGAGCGCTGGAAGAAGCCGGGAGGAGTCAGAGCCTCGGGAGGACCTGGAATTCTGCCTGGAATTCTGCCTGGGGAGGAGGATTGGGATGCAAAATCCACGCGGTTCTGCCCCCTGACAGCTTCGGGATTTGCTGCTCATCCTTAGGGAAAAGGGAGGAAAAAGCTGGAAAAGGAGGAAAAACCTTGGGAAAACTTCACCTGCTCCTCATGGACTCGGGAACACCCGCGGAGGTTTTGCTTCTCCCCGACTGAATTTTTGGGATTTGAGGGATTTGGTTTTTTGGGATTTGAGGGATTTGGTTTTTTTGGGGTGTGGGGGATTTGTTTTCTCCTTACAAGGCTGAGCTGGGATGCTCGCGTTTCCCTGGATTCCAATTCCCTGGAATGCCGAGAGGCGAGGATGAGGAATTATCCCCGGAGCAGCAGAATTCCAGAGGGAATGGATGGGGTGGGGGAAATCTCCGGCTGAGCTCGGGCTCAGCTCTGCCCGCGGCGCTCGGATCTCTGCAGCTCCAGGAGATAAAACCGGTTCTAAACCCGAGCCGGGGCGCAGAAGGGGCAGAGTAAAACCAGTTTCAAGCCCCGTTTGGGGGCGCTGAGAGCCTTTAAAACCAGTTTCAATCCCGATTTAGGGGGGCTGAGTGAAACCGGTTTTAAATCCGATTTGGGGAGAGCAGAGTAAAACCGGTTTCAAGCCGGATTAAGGGGGTCAGAAGGGGCAGAGTAAAACCAGTTTCAAACCCGATTTTGGGGGACAGAATAAAACCAGTTTCAAGCCCGATTTAGGGGGGCAGAATAAAACCGGTTTCAAGCCCGATTTTGGGGGACTGAGAGCCTTTAAAACCGGTTTCAAGCCGGGTCTGGGGGCCAGAGCAGCCCCTCCCGGGGGCGGCAGCGCTTCCAGGGCCTCTGGGATTTCTGGGAAGCGCCGTGGACTCAGCTCCTTCTCCCGGGAGATCCAGAATTCCAAACAAATTCATCTCCACCTTTTCCATCCCGAGGAGTTGCTCGGATCCTTCTGGAAGTTGGATTTTTTTGGAGACAAATCCGAGTGTTTTTGAAGGATTTTGCACCCGGCTGCTTGGGACTTCCTGAAATTTGGAATTTTTTTTTTTTTTTGAGACAAATCCGCTTGTGTCCTCCCCACCTGGTTAATTTGGATTTCTTTCTAGAGACAAACCCAGTTTTTCTTGTAGGATTTTGCACCTGGCTCCTTGATCCTGACCTGGTAAATTTGGATTTTTTTGGAGACAAATCTGGTTTTTTTTGTTGGTGACTGCTTGGATCCCTCTCACCTGGTCAATTCTGGATTTATTTTAAAGACAAATCTGATTTTTTATTGCTGTTGAACCATTTTGCACCTGGCTCCTGACCTGGTTAATTTGGATTTTTTTGGACACAAATCCAGTTTTTTTAGTCAAAGGATCTTACAGCTGACTCCTTGATCCTGATCTAATAAATTCGGATTTTTTGGACACAAATCCGGTTTTCCCTTGATCCTGACCCGGTTCGTTCAGATTTTCTGGAAACAGATCCAGTTTTTATTCCCTCCTGGAGGATTTTACACCTGGTTGCTTCATCCTGACCCGGTTCATTTGGATTTTCCACACACAAATCCGGTTTTCCCTGCATCCTGACCCAGTTAATTCGGACTTTTTGGACAGAAATCCGGTTTTCCCTTGATCCTGACCTGGCCATCTTGGATTTTCGGGACACAAATCCGGTTTCCCTTTATCCTGACCCGTTTCATTGGGATTTTCTGGACACAAATCCATTTTTCCCAGGATCCTGACCCTTTCACTGGGATTTTCTGGACACCGATCCGTTTTTCCCTTGGTCCTGACCCTTTCATTGGGATTTTCTGGACACAGATCCGTTTTTCCCAGGCCCCTGTCCCGGTTGGTTGGGATTTTGGGGATTTGGGGAGCAGCATGGGGCACTGCCGGGCCCCGCTGCTGTGGGTGCTGCTGTGTCTCCAGCTGTGCCTCCAGCTGTGCCTGCAGCTGGGGCCCCGCGCCCCCGGCGCCAGGAGGGGCAGGAAGGAGCCGCCCGAGCCCCGGAACGCGTCCCTGGCCAACAGCGAGGAGCATCCCAAGGTGCGTTCCGGAACATTCCCGGGATGTTTTCCTGCCTTCCCCGGCTGCTTCCAGCTCGGGTTAATTTTGGGGGTTCCCCCAGGCTGGGAACGGCAGAGAACTTCCAGGGAGTTGTTCAGGATCCTTTGGGATGAGCGTTTCCATGGGATTTCTGGGGATAGAGGAGGGGTTTGGGGAATTCACAGCAGGTTTTGGGAACTGAGAGCAGGTTTTGGGATTGGGAGGGGAAGGGCAGTGAGGAGGGAGGGAATCCCCATCACCCTCAGCCCTCGGTGCCACCCTGGTGACACAGAAATGTCCCCATGGCGTGACACAGAAATGTCCCCTCCGAGTGACACAGAAATGTCCCCATGGGGTGACAGAAATGTCCCCTCAGGGTGACAGAAATGTCCCTTTGGGATGACACAGAAATGTCCCCATGGGGTGACAGAAATGTCCCTCAGGGTGACACAGAAATGTCCCCATGGGGTGACAGAAATGTCCCTTTGGGATGACACAGAAATGTCCCCATGGGGTGACAGAAATGTCCCTCAGGGTGACAGAAATGTCCCTTTGGGATGACACAGAAATGTCCCCATGGGGTGACAGAAATGTCCCCTCAGGATGACAGAAATGTCCCTTTGGGGTGACACAGAAATGTCCCCATGGGGTGACACAGAAATGTCCCTCAGGGTGACACAGAAATGTCCCCATGGGGTGACACAGAAACGTCCCTCAGGGTGACAGAAATGTCCCTTTGGGGTGACACAGAAATGTCCCTTTGGGGTGACACAGAAATGTCCCTCAGGGTGACAGAAATGTCCCTTTGGGGTGACACAGAAATGTCCCTCTGGGGTGACACAGAAATGTCCCTCAGGGTGACACAGAAATGTCCCTTTGGGGTGACACAGAAATGTCCCTCAGGGTGACACAGAAATGTCCCCATGGGGTGACACAGAAATGTCCCTTTGGGGTGACACAGAAATGTCCCCATGGGGTGACACAGAAACGTCCCTCAGGGTGACAGAAATGTCCCCTCGGGGTGACCTCCGGGCCCGCCTTTGATCAGCGCCATTGGGGCTGGCAGCTGCCATGGCAACGAGGGACAAACCGGGAATGCCGACAATCCCCGAGTTCGGGAACAATTGCGCTGCCCCGGGAATATCCCGAGTAATTGGTTCAGGCTGGGCAGGTTTGGGCCTCCAAACCCCTTCTGCTCCAGCCAAATTCCATTAAAAACAAAAAATCCCTGTCAAGTCCCCGTTTTCCACCCGTTCCCCCTCAAACGGGCGGCTTTTCCCGCTGGCTTTTCGGGATGTGCCGCAGGGCTCTGTGGCCTCGCGGAATTCCTGAGGTTCTCCCCTAAAACTCCTCCAATGCTGCCCCTGCAGAGGGGCCAGGCTGCGATCCTAGCCCAGCTGATCCCGGGATTCTTTTGGATGCTTTGGGAGATTTGGATTCACTTTGGGGGCGCCTTGGAGGGCACCGGGTGCAACATTAGAGACTGAACCGAGTTCCCTCAATTAAAAATCCCTTCTAGCCAGAACGGATCCAAAGGGATCCAAATCCAGAATGGATCCAGGAAGGATCCAGGTCCAGGATTTATCCAGAAGGGATCCAAATCCAGAATGTATCCAGAAGGGATCCCCATCCAGAATTTATTTAGAAGGGATCCAAATCCAGAATTTATCCAGAAGGGATCCCAATCCAGAATTTATCCAGGAAATCTTGAAATCCAGAATTTATCCAGAAAATATCCAGATACACAATTCATCCAGAAGGTATCCCAATCCAGAATTTATCCAGAAGGGATCCCAATCCAGAATTTATCCAGAAAGGATCCCAATCCAGAATTTATCCAGAAGGGATCCCGATCCAGAATTTATCCAGAAGGGATCCAGGCCCTGCAGTGTCTGAGCTCCTCTGGGAAATTCCTCCCAGACATTTCCAGGCTGCAGGAATGGGCCAGGCACTTCCATTTCCCAATTTTCTGTGGCTTTTGTGGATTTTGTGCCTTGCTGGGAGCCGTGTTTTCCTCTCTGGGCCCCCTTGTCCCTCTGCCGGCCGGGATTGGGAATTTGGGGAGCATTCCAAGACTTTCTGAATGTTTCAATCTCTCGTTTGAGCCAGCTGATAACAGTCAGGCTCCAACAGGGAACAATCCCTGGCATCTGGGTGGGTTTTCCATGGAATTTCTGAGGATTATCGGAGGAATGGGAATCCCAGCAGCTGGGAAAAGGTTTCTGAGGGAATCTCAGAGCTCTTGGCTCCTCCTGATCCCTCCCGGGCTGGGTTTTTGCACCCCTTGGGCCAGGCAGAGCCATCAGCCCTGTGCCGGTGTCTCAGCAGCTCCCGGAGTCTCCCGAGCTGCGGATCACGGACCCCCGGCGCACCTGGATCTCCTTCGTGCACCGCCCCGACGATGGCAGCAATTCCAAGAGGAGATGCAAAGGGAAAGACAAGAAATTGGTAGGAGCAGCACTCCACGGTTCCCCTTCCTGCTCCTCATCCTCAGGGTTCCAGCTTTTCCCAGCCCAGGGAGTGCCAAGGTTCCATTTCTGCTGTCGAATTTCTCCGTTTTTGGAGAAGTCGGAGCCTTGGGAGAGAAGATGTGGGAATCTGGGCCTTGGTTTGGGTGATTTTCCCACTCAGTCAGAATAAAATCCATCTTTTTCTTCTCCTTTCCAGGAGATAAAGTCCACATATCCCAAAGGATAAATTAATCAAGGTGTGGACAAATGATTGTTAAATAATTTAAAATAAAATAATAATATAATAAATTATAAAAAAATATATAATATAATATAATATAATATAATATAATATAATATAATATAATATAATATAATATAATATAATATAATATAATATAATATAATATAATATAATATAATATAATATAATATAATATAATATAATATAATATAATATAATATAATATAATATAATATAATATAATATAATATAATATAATATAATATAATATAATATAATATAATATAATATAATATAATATAATATAATATAATATAATATTGTATCATGTGATATCATGTGATATCACATGATATCATGTGATATAATATAATGTTATATAATACAATATAATACATATAATATAATATAATACAATGCAATATAATCTAATATAATTAATGATATAATTAAATTATTTCAAATTAATGAGCTGAGTGACACCTGACCACGCAGCATTTTGAATCTAAAGGAATTCCTAAAGGAATCTTGGCTTCCTTTAACAATTTCCCTCTGTGCAGGCAATCGGAGGAAACAGGAATTTGCTGGGAACAGCCCCCCTGACACTGCTGGTGTCACTGTAGGATTTTCCACAATTCCCAGGTTTTAATCCCAGATTTTCCTTTGTTTGTTCCCTCAGCGAGGCCTGGTGGGGCCGCCAGGACCTCCTGGGCCTCAGGGACCTCCGGGAGCCCCCGGGGCTGAAGTCACCAGGGAAGTTCTTCTGCAGGAGTTCAAGGAGATCCTAAAAGGTGAAAGACTTTCAAAGATTTTGGAGGATATTGAAGGTAAAGGTGGTTAAAGGCTGGAAAAGCTTTGTTTTGGTGAAGCACCAGCACAAATCCAGCACCGGCTTCACCCTAAAGCATCTCCTGGCAACCAGAACTGCTCCCCCAGGGCTGCTGGGGAGATCCGAGCGCAGAATTCCAACCCATCAACAGCTTCATAGGCCAGGCCCTTAAAGAAGGAGTTTATTTCATTTTATTCCCTTTATTCCCTTTTCCCCTCGCAAGCCATTGAGCACTGGGCATCCCTGGCCATTTCTGCCCACACCAGGCCCTTAAATTAGGGTTTTATTTAATTTTATTCCCTTTATTCCCTAGAAGCCATGGAGCAGAGACCCTTCCTGGTCATTTCAGCCCACCCCAGGCCCTTAAATGAAGATTTTATTTCATTTTGTTCCCTTTATCCCTCAGAAGCCACTGAGCACCAAGCCTCCCTGACCACCCCAGGCCCCTAAATTAGGGTTTTATTCCCTTTATTCCCTTTTCCCCCAGAAACCATGGAGCACTGAGCCTCCCTGGCCATTCCAGCCCACCCCAGACCCTTAAATGAAGATTTTATTTCATTTTGTTCCCTGTATCCCTCAGAAGCTGTGGAGCACCAAGCCTCCCTGACCACCCCAGGGCCTGAAATGAAGATCTTATTTCATTTTATTCCCTTTTATTGCCCTTTATCCCTCAGAAGCCATGGAGCAGCGATTCTCCCTGGCCATCCCAGGCTCTTAAATTAGGGGTTTATTCCCTTTATTCCCTTTTCCCCCAGAAACCATGGAGCAGAGAGCCTCCCTGGCCATTCTGTCCCATCCCAGGCCCTTAAATGAAGATTTTATTTAATTTTGTTCCTTTTATCCCTCAGAAGCCACTGAGCACCAAGCCTCCCTGACCACCCCAGGCCCCTAAATTAGGGTTTTATTCCCTTTATTCCCTTTTCCCCCAGAAACCATGGAGCAGAGCCTCCCTGGCCATTCTAGCCCTCCCCAGACCCTTAAATGAAGATTTTATTCCCTTTTTCCCCTTCATTCCCCAGAAGCCATGGAGCAGAGAGCCTCCCTGGCCGTTCCATCCCGTGCCAGCCCGCTGCCGGCCCTGGAGCAGCTGCCGGCCCTGGAGCAGCTGCCGTGGCACCGGCGCGTGGAGCAGGCGTTCCACTGCAAGCTCAAGGGCCACGTGGTGGTGGACAAGAAGACCTTGGTGGAACTGCAGAATTTCCAGTCGGTGAGGAGCAATTCCAGGGTTAGCCAGGGCGTGGAGAGGCTCCAGCTCCTTGCTCGGCTCTGTGGGGCTTCCTGGCTCATCCCAGAAACTCCTCTCGGGCTGAAAGGAAGAGAAAAATCCAGGAGAAAGTGTCCAAAGGAGGGCCAGAGATGGATCCACCTTGGATCCCCTTTTAATTCTGATCTTCCAAAGGTTCTGTCATTGCTGGATCCACCTTGGATCCCCTTTTTAAATCCATTATTCCCAAAGTTCATCACTGCTGGATCCACCTTGGATCCCCTTTTAAATCTGATATTCCCAAGATTTTGTCACTACTGGATCCACCTTGGATCCCCTTTTTAAATCCCGTTTTCCGCAGGTTCTGTCACTGCTGGATCCACCCTGGGGGACCCTCCTCGTCTCCATGGGGAAGGGTCTAGAGGGGCTGAGGGTGCTTGGAGGAGATTTTTGGGGTCTGCAGCTCTTCCCAAGGGGCAGCTCCGATCTCTCCATGCCAGGGACAGGACCCAGGCAATGCTGGAGCTGTTCCAGGATGGATTTCAGGGAAAGATTCCTCATCTGGAGGGTGCTGGGGCTGTTCCCAGGCTCCCCAGGGAATGGGCACAGCCCCAAGAGCTCTGGGAGGGTTTGGATGCTGCTCCCAGGGACGCCAGGCTGGGATTTTGGGATGGCTGGGCAGGGATCCGTGATCCTGTAGGTCCTTCCAGCCTGGGATATTCCATGATTTTGTGGCTGAAGTGGGCACTTCCTGACAAACCCAAGCCAGGATTTCTCCCTCTCTTCAGCCCAGCAGGATCTCCCAGAGTTTTTCACGTGATCCCAGCTCCAAGAGCAGCCAGGTTTCTAATTTTAATGATTTAAATAATTACAATTATTTTATAATTTCTTTTAATTAATGATGGAGGAAGACTTGACTGGGTTTGGAATGAGCAGGATCTGAAGGATCCAAAGTAAAATTCCAACGTAGATTGTCAGAGGCAGACGGAAACCACTGATTATAGATTTGGGAGCCCAAATAAATCCTGGATTTTGTTTGGTGAGCCAGCTCTGATGCTTAAATTCTATAAATAATATCATATTAATGACCTAATCAATATTACCTCTATAACTGAATTACCATTAAATCAAGAGTCATTCTAATCATGGCCAAAACAAGCTGCCAAATACTAAATTTAACGTTAAATATGAAATTTCTGATATTAAATCTTGGAAGAAACCGTTCCAGCGGCAAACGGGCCCTGAATTTGCAGCATAAATTTTAGGACGAGCAAGAACAAAACCCAAATAATGATTTGATCGTTTAGTTCTCCTGGATTTTGGGGTCCCCGAGGCCCTCGAGGGCGTTTGTGAGGTGGCAGGAAGGGTTTGAGGGGGGAATGTGCCAGGGACAATCCCGTCCTTCGGGATGTTTTCCTGCTGCCGCTCCGGCAGCTGCAGCACTGCAGGCAGTGCTTCTTCCCCAAATAAGCCGCATTCCTGGATTTTTCCCAAATTTTGGCAGCTCGGCTTGGCAGCCAGGCAGGCTCAGCCCTGAGGCATGGGCAGGGCTGGAGGGGAGCTGCTGCCTCATTAATTAGCAGGGAAAATGGGACTAATTAAGCCATCCCAGGGTGGGAGCTGCTTCCCATGCCTCAGGGGTGGGATGCCCAACTCCTTCCTAATTTTTCCTGGCTCGGAGCTGCTGGGGAGGCTCTGGATGCCAAGCTGGCACGGCAGCCCGGGACAAGACATGTCTGGTTTTGGCTTGTGCCTCTGGAAAAGGGGAATTCAGAGCCAGGAGCAGCCCAGGGATTCAGGATCAGCCTGGGGATTCAGGATTCAGGATCAGCCCGGGGATGGATTCGGGAGCAGCCCAGGGATGGATTCAGGAGCAGCCCAGGGATTTGAGATTCAGGGTCAGCCTGGGGATTTAGGATTCAGGAAGAGCCTGGGGATTTGGGATCAGCCCGTGCATTTGGGATTCAGGATTCAGGATTTGGGATCAACCCAGGGATTCAGGATCAGCCCAGGGATTCGGGATCAGCCCGTGCATTTGGGATTCAGGATTCAGGATTTGGGATCAACCCAGGGATTCAGGATCAGCCCAGGATTTGGGATCAGCCCAGGGATTTGGGATCAGCATGGGGATTCGGGATCAGCCCAGAGATTTGGGATTCAGGATTCGGGATCAGTCCAGGGATTTGGGAGCAGGCGGGGATTTGGGGTTGGGACTAGCCCAGGGATTTGGGATCATCCCCTGGCACTCAGCTGTGTTTTCTCTCGGCAGCCCCTGGCCAAGGGCGCCTTCCTGCGGGGCTCGGGACTGAACGCGGCCACCGGGCGTTTCACTGCCCCCGTGGGTGGCATCTACCAGTTCTCGGCCAACATCCACATCGGTGAGTGCTGCCTGGAGAGTCCCCAGAGAGTCCCGGAGAGCCCCCGGAGAGCACCTGGAGAGTGCCAGGAGAGCAGCCAGGGAACACCTGGATATGGCACCACCATCTCAGGGCTGGGTCCTTCCACAGGGAGCCCCAAAGGCTGCTCCGGGTGTGCCAAAAATCCACATTCCCTGAGGAGCAGGGATTGATCCATGGGAGCTCTGCCTTCCACAGAACCTGCAGAAAAAATGCAGATGTTGGGGTGGAGCTGCATCCGGGCAGGCTTTCCATGGGTTTTCCCTGCTGGAGCATCTCTCCCCCCACATTCCCACTCCTCCCTTTTGTGCCTTTTAAAATCCAATATTCCAGAGGTTCCACCACTGATGGATCCACCTTGGATCCCCTTTTGGAATCAGTTATCCCAGAGATTCCACCACTGGTGGATCCACCTTGGATCCCCTTTTGGAATCCGTTATCCCAGAGATTCCACCACTGGTGGATCCACCTTGGATCCCCTTTTGGAATCCGTTATCCCAGAGATTCCACCACTGATGGATCCACCTTGGATCTCCTTTTGGAATCCGTTATCCCAGAGGTTCCACCACTGATGGATCCACCTTGGATCCCCTTTTGGAATCAGTTATCCCAGAGATTCCACCACTGGTGGATCCACCTTGGATCCCCTTTTGGAATCCGTTATCCCAGAGATTCCACCACTGATGGATCCACCTTGGATCCCCTTTTGGAATCCGTTATCCCAGAGATTCCACCACTGGTGGATCCACCTTGGATCCCCTTTTGGAATCCGTTATCCCAGAGATTCCACCACTGATGGATCCACCTTGGATCTCCTTTTGGAATCCGTTATCCCAGAGATTCTGTCACTGATGGCCAGAGGTGGATCCACTTGGATCTGTTGGCTTTGGCTCCATCAGATATAGAGGAACCTTCTGGCACCTTCTGCAGCCCCAAATGCAGCCATCCCAAGGCTGCTGGTGTCCTTCTGGAGCCCAGATTCCAGGATTTGTGGGAATGCTGAAATTTTTCCTGCTGTTTTTCCCAGACCACAGCGAGCTGAAGAGCAAAGTGCAGCTCCGAGCCAGGGACAATGTGCGGGTGCTGATCTGCATCGAGTCCCTGTGCCACAGATACACGTGAGTCACTCCAGGGGCATCTGGGATCCTTCTCCTCGAGGTTTTCATATTTATTTCCTAATATTTCCTAATATTACCTAATATTTCCTAATATTTCAGCCACCTGTGGAAGATGAAGTTCACCAAAAATGGATTTTAAATCATAAATTTTTGTGGAGCTGTTCTGCAGAGTGTCCCTCAGGCTTTAGGTGTTGTTTTAATTCTGAGCTTTAACCTCTCAGTGTTAATCACCTAAGAACTGCTATTATTTATAATTGATCACTATGAAATATTCTAAATTGTTATTTCCAGTAATGTTTCATTACCTGAATATAAAATAATGCACCCAAATTGCTATTATTGATACTGATAATGACCAAATAATTATTAATAAATTGTTATTTCCAGTAATCTTTCATCACCTAAACATAAAATAATGCCCCAAATTATTATTATTTATAGTGAGAAATAATGGCCAAATAATTATAAATTAATTGTTATTTACAATAATATTTAATCACCCTGAGCACCTCCAGAAATCCACAGATCCGTTAATCCAGAAATCCACAGATCCACAAATCCACAGATCCACAGGTGCCACTTGAACCCCCCAAATCCCAGAAATCTGCGGCTGGAGCGGCTCCCTCAGCACTTCCAAGGCTTTTTTGGGAGCTGGATTGGACATCAGGTTTTGGGATAAATCAAAAACCACTCCCAGGTTTCTCTGGGCTCTGGAAAATCCCTCAGGAGTTGGGGAAAGAGGGGTGGGAAGTCCAGGAGAAAACAGGAACCACTGGAATCTCCTTGGAGGCTGTTTTATCCCAGGATGGATTTGGGACCAATCCCAGAACAAGGGGAGTGATCAGGATGGATTTGGGACAGATCCCAGTGCCAGGAGAGGGATTAGGATGGGTTTGGGACAGATCCCAGTGCCAGGAGAGGGATCAGGGTGGGTTTGGGAAAGATCCCAGAGGGATCAGGACGGGTCTGGGACAGATCCCAGTGCCAGCAGAGCACGGCTGGGATGGAAGGAGGTGGCAGCAGGGATGGGAACCTGGCTGGACACACTGCCTGTGGAATTTCCTGGGGACATGGGCACGGCCCCATCCACGGATCTATCCATGGATCCATCCATCCATCCATGGATCCATCCATCCATCCATCCATCATCCATCCATCATCCATCCATCCATCATCCATCCATCCATCATCCATCCATCATCCATCCATCATCCATCCATCCATCATCCATCCATCATCCATCCATCCATCATCCATCCATCGTCCATCCATCCATCCATCATCCAACATCCATCCATCCATCCATCATCAATCCATCCATCCATCCATCATCCATCCAT